TCCCCCAGTCATCACCATTTTTGTAGGTGGTATGTTTACCATTCCCAGCCATGGGTGGTTTATGGCATTGGTTTACCCACATTACTGTCAATAGCTGTCATAAATGGAGGATCCTCAAGTCATCATTGGCTTTCAATACTAAAATGGTATAAAATGCACTGATTTAGATGATTTGGGGGTACCATGACTTTGGAAACCTCCAAATAGACACATTAAAGTAGCTTCCCTGCCGTTAGACATCGCCTGAGCCTGCTGCCTTCATTCGCTGTCTCCTTTGGATTCCGGCGCCGGGGCCTTAGTCGGAATGGAAAATCATGGAAAATCAATGTTTTTTGATTCATGTGGGAAACCCTGGCTGCCATACACCATTTGGGGATGCTTTATTGTTGGGTTTACCACATGAGTGGAATATGTTTGGCAGCTCCAAACACCTTCCGAAACAGTGAAGGATGATGATTGGGACTACCGGAATCCCTACTGAAGACCTCCCTCTGGAACCTTGGGACTTGTAGGGGATTTACATATATTTCTGAGCATTTTTAAGGGGTGTTTAGTACTAGTAACTAGTATGAGATTGGAGAAGGGGTGGACATCAATGAGTTTAGGTTTAGGACTTTACTGGGAACCCGTAGCATCCAGGTTCCCAGCATGCTCTTCATTGCTCCTCCACTGTTCAACCATGGGCCCATTGATTTGTGGTGGATGGGAATTAAGCAGTTCCTCACCTTGCTGGTTCAGCATTTCGATTGGTTGTATCTTCGTGTTGCTTACAATCCTTTAGTATGCCGATGTATGATGATGTATGCTGATATATTCACCATGAACATGTAGTTGCTTCATAATTTGTTTGGTTGTTTTCCATCCTACGAAAGATGACCACAAGTGGCTAGTTTATCCACTCAGGATTGCCAAGGAGCTATGAATTCAGGCCTAACGGGGAGCCAAGGAGCTACACATTAGAAGGTGCCCCCCAGTTACAAGCTGGTTTATAGACCCCATTATCTCATATTATCTCTAGAAATATCTCTAACATAAACTCTACTTACTCTACTTGCACTGATAACCAGGTTTAACATGGTTTAACTACTTGTTTGATTACCAAGTCCCCATGTTTTTTATCCCATAAACTACTTGTTTGATGACCTACTCTATTTACATAACTAACTTTGGTAAAGATCTGTAAAGCAAGTTAGTTATCGTGTATGGGTCCCACCAAGTCCCATCAACATTGGGATTGAATCGCCATGTGCGATGCCGATCTACAACCCACAACCTCAGGCGGAGACCATATCATCTCCATAGGATAACTGGGTAAATTTCATCACGACCGAACCCTGTCTTTCCCTGGGAATTCTGGTTTATTTTAGGGACATCATCCCCTTCTATGGCCGAACTATTCAGGTTAGTGAAATATTATAATTCACCCAGATATCATGCATGATGCGGCAGTGTCGGGTGTCCCATCACACCAAGTGCACGAGGCATGGAACACAGCACGTGAGTAGCATTTGATCGTCAAATCAGGCACCAAAAAAAAACAGCAATTTGATGCAATTTGTAGATTGCTTACCTGGATTTACTTCAATATCTTCAATGGGAATAAAAAAAGGATCCAAAAATGGAGCTACTGTATCATATAAAACCATATTTTGTGGGGATATTCCCTTACATAGGTCTTATATAGGCCTTATATATATGGTAGGTACCTCCAATTTAGGTTCCTGAAATGGCCATGATTACTGACCTGATTGAACACAGAGTGATTTCTGTTTTTTTGAAATTTCAGTGTTCAGAATAGAAATTTCAGTTACTGAACTGATTGAACACGGAGTGATTCCAGATTTTTAGTGGAGTTCCAGAATAGAAATGTCAGTCGCCATCAAGATGTGCAGCCAGAACTGGCTTTCGAATCCAGATTCCAAGTTGCAGTGTCCACCACATCGATGGATAAAGCATCCCCAATACTACCCTCTGGTAAACTAACATAGCTATGGAAAGACCCACCCATTTTTAGTGTGTAAATCCACTATTTCTATGGCCATTTTCAATAGCAAACTGTTAGTTTACCAGAGGGTACTTGTAATGTTGGTAAAACAATAATAAACAATCCCCAATTTCACCATAATTGGTATAAACCATTCCCAGTCATGGGCGGTTTATGGCATTGTTTTAGCTTCTTTTACCCACATTAGTGGTTTATGAAATTGGGGGATGCTTGGGATGATTTATGATATGTCATATGTATTCATATGTGCCTTATGTGCCTCAAATCGTCGATAATTTAGGATTTTAAGGGATAGTAAATGGGCTAAATTTCAGGAATATTTCCGAGATATGCTTGGAATCACTTCAGACTTCCGGTGTCAATTGTTTGATTCCAAAAACTTACTGGTGCTAAACGCAGGGAATTTTCGGGAATGATCCACAATAACTATCAATAATCATCCCAGCAACCCCCAGTCCCATCCATTCCCTGCTAAGCACCAGTAAGAAAATGTATATATAATGAAATATAATGAAAGTGATTCCAAGTGGACCTTATTTTTACACTGTCTTGGAATTGACACTTCGGAAGACAAAGTTATGACCCTTTTCCAGTTATAAGTGACATAACACCATTTATGGAGTAATAACCACATAGAAACAAGCATTGAAATAGCAAGTTATAACAACATGTATGAACATTTATATCCAGTTAATTATATAGTGTCAACCCTGGATTAATAAACCCCTGGGCTGTTTAATTGGGAGGGTACCATTTAAGTACTAGATTATGACTATTGCAGGAGTACCCCCCTAATTAATAAACTATGGTTTATTAATCCGGGATTGACATTCACTGGTATTTCGATTTCGGGCCATAACTTCACTCCTTGGACCCCCCAAGGTTTGCCGGAAGACACCAGCAGAAGCAGCCGATCTAGGTCGACGTGTCAGCCGGTGTGAATGGGGAGCAGAGAATAGCCATGCGCCATTAAAGGTTATACCCAATTGTAAAGTTTACCCAATGGTTAAAAGTTGGTTTATAAAGCCTAAATGTTAGGGGAATATAATTATAACCATCATTGAGGCTTTATAAACCAACGTATAGTTAATGGGTACCATTAACATATTAAAGTTGTAGCCAACTGTTAAGTAGCTCGGTTAATTATCCAGTGGTTATATAGGAGGGAACGATTTGGAGCCATGGGTATCCTATATATTCCCTATTCAATGGGGGGAGCCAAGAAAGGAGCTACACATTGAGTTTTCCAACCTCATGATGGTTGATTGCTTACGAAATAAGAGTTATACATACTTCTGGGTAATCATGGTTTATTTTAGGGAAATCATCCCCAAATGGCCTTAATTCAGGTTAGTGAAATATTATAATTTACCCAAATACTTATACTATAACCCATAGTAGGGAACTCATTAATCAACTATCATGAGATGGGTATTTTTTATATCCCAAATAGCATCCGGCAATGTCCAGTACGGAATCATCAGCGTCAACTTCAAAACATATGTTTTGTTGTGTTTTTGTTTTAGGTAAAAATGGCAGTGCATTTAAGGGTGTGTTTAGTGAACAGATTGCATCAACCATATAGCTGTTTCATGATATATCATGGGGATGTAATTATATTTCTAGATATCGAGCCAACAATGTCTTAATGGGATTAACTTAACCATCACCAATGAGGTTTGATCTTCACACATATATAGCCAAAAAGAATGTGCAAACGACGGAAAATTATGTATAATAATAGGATATATAATCAACAACGATCAGTATACACAATTGGACATATACCATCATAAAATATAGCCATAATACCATAGTATACCATATGATACCATCATACATTACCATCACAATCGCCATAATTCAGCCAACAATCAGTGTATAATCATCATTTGGGCACACCTTTGATGGGTCCTTGAGTGCTCGAATCTTTTGCCATTGGGGAAATTGACGGAACCCCACCGCGGGATATCCAAGATTGACCATGATTGGTTTATATATATATATAGTATATTGTATATATATATATATACATTTGGTGGGTTTATGGATCAAAGTTATCAAGGTTGACTCATGTAGTTTATCATAGGTCCCGGTCATCCCGGTCACCGATCATGGGAATCATGGCATAGGTGGTATGGTGGGAATCCCCAATTGGAGGTACCTACATTTCGTGGTGCCCCAGTTCGATAGCGTGAACCGTTGGGGTTCACATAACTCCAATATCCATGGTTTATGGTACTTATAACTATATAGTTAATGGGGGTTATAAACCAACTTATAACTGGGGGGTACCACATTGTACCATAAATGTTTGGCCTATTTTTCAGGCCTAGATTTCCGGGAATATCGATACAAAATATGGCCAGAAATATGGTACTAACGTACCTACATTTTAGGTTTTATTCCCATTGAATGATGGTGGGATGACCATGCCCCTTTTTTGCACCCAGAAATGCCATACAATGTCTGGGTCTGTTACATTGATACTGAATCACTGTGGCTGTGGCAATTGGCTCCAAAGATTTAACTGAGGGACATACATCAGATCGTGCAGCCAGTCACAGCAGCATCCCCGTAGAAATTGTGGCTCATCCCAGTTAGTAAGTGGGTAACATCACCCCAGTTATAAATGGGATAACTAGGGTTAATCCACTTATAACTGTGGTTACAACCCACTTACTAAGTGGGATGAGCCACTAAGTAGAATTTCTATGATGCACTAGAATTTCGGGTCCACGGTACGTGGACTGATTTATTAACTGAAGCTGAATCTGGCAGAAGACATCATACAGAACCAGTTGCAAACAATTTCCATGTTTTTCCTACTTACTGTATAATTGGTGATGAGTGATGAGCCATGTCACCATTTAGACCAGTCCAGGGATCATGGAACAGCACCTATTCTGAAATTCAGTTTTTTTTTGGTCAAACAATACAACAAATCATCTAACAAATACGGTAAATACGTATGGAAAGTCACGAGTTACCCACCATGGACCATACAGACCATACACTTCAGTTGGATCATTCCACCTCTCCACCACCGACATTGATGCGCTCGCTGCTGGCACGTGCGCGAGATGTGCGCGACGTGGCGCGAACGAAGCTTGATGGTGCGGTGGCCACTGTGGCTGCGGCACGAAGGGAAACATCACAGCAACTCGGAGAAAATATGGGCTGAATCCATGATGGTTGAGCTGGACATATGCGAAATTCGTGGGAAAATATCCCATATGCTCCATGGTGCTGGTATATTTACCTACAAAACTGGGTGATTTTTAGGGCAAATGTTGGTAAATATTCCATACATGGAGCACATGGGTATGGGAATTCATTGAAATATTATAAATGGAGGTTTCAATAGGAAAATCACCAAAAAAGAATGGTGGTGGATCTGATTTTCTGTGATGTATTTTTGGTGCTTAAGCCACCAAGATGTTCAACGAAGGGATTTAATCAGGCAAACTTTAAAAGTTGTGGGTCTCCAAATTTGAGTGTTAAGCTTGGTTGTGTGGTATATTGAGCAACAACAAGCATGGGGATGATACGGATGATCGCAGTGCGAACATATGGGGAACTAATTCCTGTAGCCCTGGCGAATCCCCTATGGAGACCAACAGGGTTCCGGCTCAACAACTCCCCAGGGCTCAGGGGTAAACATCACCTCAACCAGGTGAAAAAAAGCGGAATAAGTTATGTTTGCGGAAATATGGTGAACTGTGTACAATGTGCCATGGTCAAATAATCGTGTTCAAGCGGTTTAAATATGAGTGTTTCTAGTTTTGAAGCCATATATATAAAAGGTTTAGAACCACTGCAGCCATGTTCTTCCCAAATTTTACCTAGAGATGGACAACACATGTGTTTTGAACATGATCTGCAACTGGTTGGTTTGCCATATTAGTTGGATTAAATTCCTCTGAAATACGACATTCTTGGGGGATGAACATCCATAAACCCCAGCTATTTTGGTGTTCAGGGGCACAGGTTTGGACTCATACCCAGATGTCCATGAATTATAACTATAATTGGGATAAGTATTCTATATTGATAGTTGGGATAGTTACTAGTGATTTTGGGATGATTTTCCACACCATCAAGATATCGACACGAGGTGGCCCCCTGAGCTATACGGTGGCTTACAAACCCCATTAACATATTAACTATAGATATATCTACATATAATAAACAATATAACCATAAAACTATACAGATATTTACATTTAATATCTACCATATAATATAATAACATATAGATATTTACATACAATATCTACCATAAAGCCATAGTTAACTTAGTTATAGACAATTTTAGCTATTGCAATCTTGGCGGCATATTGCCATGATCATCCCGACACTTTTTTTTTAAACCCGGATCACCGGATATTGGTAATCATACAAGCATGGTTATTAGATATTTATTCAGATATTTTCATGTGTGACATGTGTGAATATGAAAAATACAATGTTGATTATTGAAAATATACTATCATGATATAAGAATCCAAAATCAATGTAATTGGGAAACAAAATTATAGATTATATTAACCTTATAATTCCAGGTGTCCCATGTGTCTATTGTATTTGTTTGGGGTTGCTATAGATTGACATCAAACCTAGGAAAACTCCTATGGAATTTCGAATGACATCCGATTGAATCCCGTTAAATCCCCATGTTCCACAAGCAAGTTGTAAGGCTTCTATCCCAACTTAAGGTGATTGCCATATTTATACCTGGTTGGTGGTTTGGAACATTTGGATTATTTTCCATATATTGGGATTAATAATCCCAACTGACTTTCATATTTTTCAGAAGGGTAGGTATACTACCAACCAGATACCCACTGTACAACAAACGCCTTTTGCACCCACAGATCATCCCACTGATTAGGTGTTTTGAAGTCCCATGCAACCAGTCCCCATTGGGTAACGGTTATCCCATCTATGAACGGGTTATAAACAGCTATGCGTATACTAACCAGTGACTAAGTAGGATGATCCTCCTGTTCAGGAAGTCTAGCGTCATATCCCATGAATAGTCCCATTTATATTCCCCTGGTATCCCTATCATATATATATACATATATATATATATTATCTCCATTAATATTCGCATTCCGATTCTTAGATGCGATATCCCTTACAATATTCCCTATACACATATATATATATATATACTGTTTGGTGGTTTTTACCATCTTGAAACATATTAGTCAATGGGAAGGATAATCCCATATATTCCCTATAGATGACCTCCACAAGTCAGGCTGGACCTGGCCCTGCGTCGGGTCACACACACCGACTGCGCCGCCATCCCTGCAGAGGATGTACAGAACGCCCTGCAGTTGATATTGGAAAGTGACTCGCTGGAGAAGGGAATACTTATTAGTATACTGTAATGTTTTTTTTCAATTCTAATAAACTTATTAGTACTTGATTAGTATAATGGGGTTATAAGTATTCATACTACACTTATGGTAATTGATTAGTTGATACTGGAAAGTGACTTACCCATTGCACAAGAATTATAAACTACAGATAGACGGATGGATGGATAGATAAGAATATAAGATAAGATAAGATAGATAGATAGATATACAGTAGGATAGACAATATATATATATATACGCATGTAATTGGCATAACACTTGGATTGTTGCCAAACAACCGGTAGGCTTGACGGCTTGACCCTCATGATTCGGTCAGATTTGTCCCGTGCGCCTACTAGCCTCTGGTCAACGTTTACAGTTTGCGAAGTGGAAAATGACCATAGAAATAGTGAAATAGTGGATTTATAGTGGATTTATAGTGGATTTTCCCATTTCAAAGGACTATTTTGGGGTATACCCTCTGGTAATTTGTTACATAACTATAGAAAATGACCATTTATAGTGGATGTTCCCATAGAAAACGGTGATTTCCCATAGTTAGCCTCTGCTAAACTTTCACAGAAAACGATGGGAAATCCACCCATTTTATATGGGTAAATCATGGTAAATCAACTATTTTGACTGGGCCATTTTCAATAGCAAAGTGTTAGTTTACCGGAGGGTATGATCAATCAGATCCATCTTCGTATTGCTTTATGCCAGTTTCCGTGGGTGACTCCTAGTTGTGATGGTTTGATCTCCATCTTCAGTGCTCAAATCACTTATTTGTTGATGCTTAGTCCCACATGTTTGTTGCTCAAATCACCACTATATTATAATTATAGTCACTGGTCAAGAGTCACATGTCTTCCTACTTGTTCAACGGCGGAAAACGTCATCAACGGCGTCCCAGGTGAGGACTCCTTAGCAAAAGCCTTGCGGCATATCCAGGAGCTGGGGGTTAACCAAGGGGTTTTTAAGCATCAACCATATGGGGATGTATGTTTTTCTTGCTGTCATTGCTTGATTAAGATGGTGCATGTTGACAACCACTTTTTCGTGTTCTGTTGTTGTTGTTGTTCTTGTTTGGTGCTGGTTGTTGTACTATCCAACATATTTGGGATTATCCAGAACTGTAAGCAGGGAAAGCCGTTCTGAAGCAACACGTACAATGGAATGACAACCTTTTGACACTGCTCATAGCAAGCGAACCTGAAACAAGTCAAACATACGGAGGTTTCAACAACAACGACGACGACGATAGTCATAGGACTTGAGCATGATTGAACTAGTAGCAAGATTAGACTAGGAAAACATAGTGAATCAACCAGAAGCATGGGAGGTTGGGCAACAAAAACAAGAGAACCACCATCAAGACTACGGATCGAATTGTTTGTATTCAGTATTCCCATAATGAAAGCCATGGATTTTTACCTCGAAATCTAAAAGGAACCTCTGATTATACTGCAATAAAGACACTGGAAACCAGGGAGGGTTGGGGCGCACACACACACACACACGCACACACATAGAGATCCTGGAGAGATAAAAACTTATAGAATAGTTCTTTGACTGGGATACAATGTGAATTTGACCGGCCAAAAATGATATTTAAGCAACAGGAACTAAGATCTGTACATCAAACATTACGAAATAGTAGCGATCTCTAGCAAAGAGATGTATGAAACATCACCAACAAGAATTGCTTGAAAGTCCGTATCCCCTGAGAATTTGTATATTACAATGTGCTGTACATGTATATGTTGCTGGTTGGTGGTTTGGAACATGAATGGATTATTTTCCATATACTGGGAATTATCATCCCAGCTGACTTTCATATTTTTCAGAGGGGTAGGTACACCACCAACCAGGTTGGATATCTACCTTGTACACATTTAACCGTCGTATCACCTGGTGGTTCGGCGCTGTGTTTTCGGGGCGTGCCGCCAATGGAGCTCGCTTCAAGCGATCTGCAGTCAGCAGTCATCCCGTGGTGCATCCCAGCTAGTAAGAGGTGAACAAAAAACCATGGTTTTTCACCCACTGATTGATACACTGTGGTAGCCCCCAGCCCCCAGTGATGTGAACGTTGGTTTATAACCCCAAAAAAATGTTCGATATATCTACCATAAGTCCTGGTTATTGGAGATATAATCCAACTTAGCTATCGAACTGGGGCACCACTATGAAGGATATCCCTACTTGTATATGGCGAAAAAAAACACTTCTTAAGTGGGATGCACATCCCAGTCATCAAACATCATCAAACATGGCTGGCTGGAAAATCTACCATTTGTAGATCATTTTTTCCATTGAAAAACCAATTAAAAACGGATTTCCCAGCTAGCCATGTTTGATGACACCGGAGGGTAGATTTCAGGGGGACGGCCATCCCTATATATTGTTTACCCATGGCGTCATCCCGTATCCACCCACTTCTTGCATGATATTCATTAGACGAAATTGCAATTTCTACTTTGACCTTGCCAGAATTAGCTAAGTGTTTAGTAACTAGGGTATGTCAAAACATACATGCTTGTTTTAATCTTATTTATCGGGTTATTACTCATGTGCTAACCACTTCGAATTTGCTAATTCTGTCAACATCTAATTTGGGACTGCCATGCTGCTGCAGGAGAATGTTGTAGCACCTGCGGAGGATTGGAGGCAGATGGCTCTCCGCATGGCCCGAGTGAAAAACCAGTTATTTTTGTACAAGTCGTGAG